CCCCCACCCCTACACCCCACTCCTTCCACTCCCCTCTTCTTCTCTCGTCGTTCCCTCTTTTATTTACATCTCTGTCGGCTACACTGCGACTGCCTCTCCAAGTACCTCCTCGAGCTCCTCAGACAAGCGGTGTCTCCAATATTTTCCTTGCCTTCAATAATCCCCCACCTGCCCTGCTCTGCGCCGCCCCACCCTCTCCCCTTTTGTCTGCCCGTCAAACTGGCCGTGCCGTGACCCGTGCGCGGGCCAGGCCCGGCCGCGTTTGAATCTCCCGCGCTTCTACCTGATTGGCCGGCCGCTGCGGCCACAGCCTACCCCGGCCGGACGCGGCCCTGGCCCTGTGGGCACCCGGCCCGCCCGCCCGATTCAACTCTGCGAAAGCCAAAAAGACGAGATCAAAGAGTCTCAAGCGGCGGCCGCGCCCGGCTCGGCAGGCGGAGAGGCGGCCATTGAGCTATTGAGCCCTCCGTGGTCTGGGGCTGCTGCTGGTCCAGTGCATGTGCTTGACCGCGAGCGCCGAAACGTCTCTGCGAAAATAAAAGTAACGCGTTTGTGGGGGGGGGGGGGAGCGTCTGTCTGTCTGTGTATGTGTATTTGTTAGTATGTCGTCATTCGTGTGTAGCAAAGGGACAGGACATAAAGGCATGGTTACTCGACATGTCGCCCTATATGCAGAGAAAATTGAGACAGACAGACAGACAGACAGACTGACAGGCCAGGCACAGCTGCTTGCTGGCTCTTATTATCACTCACTTACCCAGAGGAGATCACATTTGCTTGGCGAGAGGAGGGCGAGGTCCTGAGCCATTCATTATTGAGCCCACAGCCAGCGCGCTGATGCTGGTTCAGTCACGCAGTCTGTTTGGACGCGGTGACGCTCCCCCCTGTATGCGCTGCTGAGTGCTGCTTGCTGAGCACGGCGGTAGGGTTTGTTGTTGTGTATTTGCTGACGGAAACCGTCAGAATATATCGGCAGGCAGCCTGCTATACGTGCACGTGGCCGATCGGTTGCGCAAACTTAAGCCAGCCATTATATTATGGTTACTTTGAAAATAACGCAACGTCAACATACAACATGCACAACGATTAAAACCGGAAACTTTGTTTGCCAAATTATTTTCGGGGTTGTTGTTTGCACTTCCCCACGACTACGACGACGACGGTCGTCTGCCCGACCGTTTCTCAATTGCCTTTATGTCGCGAGACTTGCTGGGGAATGCAATATCCTACCGGCTCGCCATGAGGGCTTTACGATGCAGTGTGCGGAGCCGCTGCCTTTCATGACCAATACGGGAGCGGCTGTGCGGCGGCGGTTAGGCTCCGGGGGCGGCGGGGGTGGCGGTGGGAGCCGGACGGATGGCGGGATAATGGGATATATGGCGCTCCAAAGAGGTGAAGAGGCACTTGCGCGCGGTTATTTCTCAATCACAACCTGCGCAGAGAGAGTGAGAGCGACAGACAGACGCAGACAGACAGAGGGCAAAGCGTGGTCCGCGCAGCCTGTGTGCGGGAATAGGGGGCAGCGGGGGCGGTGCCTGTGTCTGAGTGTGTGCAAACCGAAGCGGGGTCGCCCCCTCACAGAGTCACAAAAATCTGATCGAGCGGCCAGCGCCGATGTCGTGCAGCTACACTGTCAATCTGACGTGTATCCAGCACCTGTGCGACTGACTTAAATTGCACGACCCTAGAACCCGTCAGACTTAATGCGCACAGCTCCAGGACACCTTTCTGTCATCACGGAACGGAGGAGGTGTCCACGCAAGTACTAAGTATTTTCTTGGACATTTGACATACCTGACCGAAAATGAGAAATTGAAAGACAGGCACGATCGTTTAGTAAAGCTGCAGGGAAGCCAACTTAGCGACGAGTGGCACCCTGCCTCGGTGGAAGCGCAGTGAGCGCCCCACCCGCGCACACCTACCTGCTACCCCTGGCCGCCGTGCGCCGCCGTGCGCGGCTGGTGTGGTGGGTAGGGGCGTGTTCCCTCCATAACAAGCCCACCGCACCGCCACGCCACGCCGCGGCTGAAACACGGTGGGGTGCGCTTTACCGCCATTAAACTCGCTCGCTACCCACCCCGCCCCAGTTACTGTCCTGCCGTCCTGCCTGCAGACCTGGGCGCTACCGCGGGGAGCGCCGCCGCGGCCGCTGGTGGCGTGGCTCGGCGACCTACATTCCGCCGTGGAATCTAGGGGTTTGCACCGCGCCACAGACCACCGCCGCCCGCGTCGGTCGTCCGACTTCGCCATCCACTTCCGTTCCGGTGCAGGCGGCACGGCGAAGGGCAGCACGGCCCCCGCGCCGCCCCCGCGCCGCCCCCAGCATTGATCGAATACACTCACTCCTTCGAGGCCCAGCCCGCCGCGCGCCGCCACGCCCCTGCCCCGTCGCCCTGGGCCATGTCGATCACCTTTCTGACGGCCTTCGACCCCCGTGCATATCTTGCCGCCCCCGCCGCCTCCTCGGCTCGGTGGCGAGCCACACAAACACTCTCTTCCTGGGCCTTCAGGGCGCGAGCGGAGGGCGTCGAGCACACCGCCATTAGCTGACTTGCTGACCGAAGAAACGGTTGGGCGTTTCTCAGTAACTATGGGCCGTCGCGAGGGATTATGTGAAGCGGTTCCGAGGTTTTAGAGTAACCTATTTTGCGACGAGGGAACAGCGGACACATGACATTCTCTAAACTTTGGAAATTAAATTGTAGTCGCTCTTCGGGAGAGAATGGCCAACTGCACTTTTTTTTCTGTGCTATGGTCTTTAATGGTACTCATCCCTTCGTCTCCTTTGCCCGCAGCGATGTCACGCCGTCGGAGGAGATCAAGGACGCGCTCAAGACGGCGCTGTTCGACTGCTCGCCGCTGTCCGACCCGGACATCCTGGCGCTACTCGAGTGGATGTACCACGACTTCGACCTGCTGCGCAAGTTCCACATCGACACGCGCACCGTCCGGGCCTTCCTCTACGAGGTCTACAAAAACTACAACGAGGTGCCGTTTCATAACTTCAGGCACGGCTTCTGCGTCACCCAGATGGTAAGAGAACCTGAAAGGTGATCCGAAATTGTTTGGCCGGCTGCTGGGCTTTCAAATCATTTCATCAAAGATGCACTCATGCAGTCCTTTTTTCATTTTGGAGGAGGCTGGGGAGAGGAAAAGAGAAGGATGTGAAGTGGTGGTGCTAAGGACTTGGTAGAAAACGCCTGGTAGGTAGGCACTGGAGCGCACCAGCGCACGCGTCCTTAGCGGGTGGCCTACCCTGCGTCTCGCAGGCGTTCACCGGCTGGCTATATGGTGGAGCAGAGGAAACAGACAGACAGACAGACAGACAGACCATAAAGAAATGAAAACTGCTCGGTTCCTGCCGTCGCGGCAGACCGTTGTGGTCGCGAGTCGGCGGCACGGCGGGGCGCGAATATTCACCGGTTATGACTACGGCCACTGCTTCCATAACTTGTGATCTCCCTTCCAAATGGTGGCCATGGCGGCGGGCGAGACCTGCTGGCAGCCCATCTGCCCTCGGACGGCGCTATACTGTGTGTTGTTGTGAGGGGCGGGGCGGGGCGGGGCGGTTGGGCGGGACTGTCGAGTCCGTTCCGGACGTAGTCATTCGTCCTCCATCAACGCTGAGCGGAATTTATTTCCTCTCTTTTGGCGTTTCTCTTGATGGTGTTTGCTTTACCCCTCTTTTTTTCCCATCTCGCAGATGTACGCCATGGCGAGCAGCGTGGACATACCGTCTAAAGTGGGTGACCTGGAAACGCTGATACTCATCACGTCGTCCATATGCCACGACCTGGACCACCCCGGCTACAACAACATCTACCAGGTAACCATCATGTGCGCGATTTTATCCCGTTTTGAATGGGGAAGTGCCAAATTTTGGACGGATCACAACAACGTCAACGGAATATCGAGTGGGCACAGCATGGGGTGCTTGAAACCCAACCCTCCGGTTGTTGGAACGCCCAACCCCTCTTCGCACCTTCGCCCTTCATTTTTAATTTTAATTTTCGTAATAGAGAAGCAAAATTATGGAGCATGGAACCAAAGCGAGTGGCCGTCGTGTTAAAATGAGATGAGAAAGAAATCTAAACACGGGGGTGGGGGAGAGGCTACGTGTTCGTCACAGCGAAAACTTGTCCCGTACACCTCAGGCCAGGCCCGGGTCAGAGCCCTGGTGGGACGGGGCAGGCCCATAGAGGCGGGGCAGTTGGGGCTTCAGGGCTGAGCCGCCCCGGGGTGGTGTGATTCCCAGGGGGAGGGTTCATCTGCCCCCCCCCCC